GATTGGTGAGATAGACCGCGAAAAGGATGCTTCATCCTAATAATGTAAGCAAAGTACAGACGCATGTGTTAAAAATGTGTCCTATTTCAATTATATGACGATATTTTCTTTCAATCATACTATTTTGTTCATGCCCATAACTCTTTAAGATTTTTTGAGTACTAGTGTTCATACATTAGTATAAATCAAATTAAATAGTATTGTCAATAGTAAATTATGAAACACTTTAGTAAGTTCTTGGTTAATCTCAAGTATAAAATGTTACTATTGTTTTGTAACATGTAATGAGAAGTAGGTAAAATGGAATCACTTATGATTGGACTAAGTCTTTTTTGGTATCTGGTTTTCGAAATCCACATTGAAGTTTCGACAAAATTCGGATTATGCATTAGATGGGGTCTGAAGAGAGTAAAGTGTACGCATATATCTTATCATTACCTCGAGGAAGTAGATAGACTGTTTCTAAAAGACCTTTAGCTCAAGTGCATCGAACCAAAGTAAAAGAAAAAGGGAAATAATGAATAAAGCATAAGTATTAATAAGAAAAACAGTGTATAAGACTAGAAAGATAAAAAAAAGAAACAATACCAACAACAAAATAGTGTGGCAATCAAAACACAATACACAACATAAGTCAAGAACTACAAGGGTACGACTAGTACTACGGCGGACACTAACAAACCTACTACTAAAAAAACTGGATTTAGCGATGAACAAATTTTGTAGCTAAACAATAAAATTCGTCGCTAATCCTACTTAGCGACAAATTAGCTACAAATTTGTGTTAGCTACAAGCAAAATACCGACGGTACAAAAACAAAGTTTGTAGCTAATTTCAGTGTTTTTTAATAGTTGGTTCATCCTACGCGCAACGAAACAACACTTCACCCTTACTAAATGAGTTGAGTAAAAACGAATCGTAATTTAATCCGTTCATATTTTTAACTAAGCGGAATGATTTGGGAGACCCTTGTACTTGACTCTGTTTGTAAGTCGGACCCTTGTACTTATGACTTTACCAAATGGACTCTTAAACTCATTCAAACACAATAATTTAAATCCCTTTCTCATCTAATGTGTGTGCGTGTAATACACTCTTTTTACACATGAAATACCACGTCATTATTATTATTATTTTTCCAATGACACATCAGAAATCAAATTTTAAAAAGATATAGTATTAAAAAATAAAAAATGCAATTTTCTCTCTCTTTCCCCTTCCTACTTCATCTTCTTCATTTCCATCCACTCTTACGCCTCACCCCAAAAATAAAAAAAATCATCATTTTCATCTTTCTTCCCATTTCACACTCAAAAATTTTCTTAATCATAAAATATGATAGATTGTAATTAACTCTTGCACATGCTTTAGGTTCTATTTATTTTGATTTGATAAAAAAAAAATCAAGAAAACTTCAAGTTAGAAAAAATATATTTATGAATAAATTCAAGCAATAGATCTTAAATTTACGAAAAATGGTGAATGATATGTTTTCTTGCAAAAGCTTTTTTAATTTTATGTTTGATGATTATGGTGATGGGGTGTATCTCAAAGAAGAAGAATAGGAAAGGGGTAGGAGCGGGGGTGGGGGGTGTCTGGGGATGAAGAAGAAGAGAAAAAAGGTGGGGTTCGGGCTGAAGAAGAATATAAAAAAGGTGGGGTTGGGCTGAAGAAGAAGATAAAAAAGATGGGGTGGGGCTGAAGAAGAAAAATTTTGAGATTTTTTTTTTTATTATTATTTTGTCTTATAATTTTAATAATTTTTAAATAAAAATATTGCATTCATTTGCTTTAAAAAGCGTGTGGTCTCACATTTGTCCAACTCAGCCATTTTAATGCCACATAAGTTCGGTCAATAGTCAAAGGGGTTTAAAAATAGAGTTTCATCGAGTTTAAGGGTTCATTTGGCAAAGTGATGAGTAAAAGGATTCAACTGATAAACTGAGCCAAGTACAGGAGTCTCCAAGGTCATTCCGCCTTTTTAACTATGAATTCATACATTTTGCCAACCAATTAATTGATTATTAAACGTTGAATTTGAGAAGGAATAGTCATTTTTTTGGTCCTTTATTTAATTGTTTGAAAGTGATAACAAATTGTCGTTTATTTATATAAAATATATTTTTAGAAATGTGTGATATAGACTTTAATAAGAGGTGGATAAAGAATTTAATTTTTTTAATATTTTTTATGATGACCTCAAATTAAATATTTGGTAAATTTATTTTCTTCATTTCAAAATAAATGTTGTATTATTAGATAATTTTTTAAAATTAAGCACTATAAAAAAATCTTAATTAATATAAGGGAATAACTAAAAATAATTACTAATTATTTTCTTAAATTTTCAAAGTAATAACTATTTTAGGATAAATTAATTTTGCTAAAACGACATTTTATATATCATAGAGGGAATAATATGCATGAGATAGGCACTAAAATTATTAAATTTACTGTAAATTCATAATCAACCGTACCCTCTAAATATTGTGTGGCTTCTATGGACTTGTTTTGCACGTGCTATTTATGACAACTTCATTATTATTATTATTATTATTATAGCTTCATTATTTCTTCCTCCGTTCCATTTTATGTGTCATCCCTTTCTATAAATAGCTAGATCATAATACTTGTCATTTTATAAAATTTATACATAAATTACCATATTTTGTCTATTATACCCTTGATAGAATAGTTAATTAATCTTGTTTAATTAAGTTACATCATTTCTTAATGCAAGTGCAAAGTAAAAATGTGACATATAAAATGGGACGAAGGGAGTATTTTTATAGCTTCATTACTCTAAAGGGGCGCTAGTGCTTAACTAATAAGATCTCAAAGGAGCTTGAAAAAACGTAAGAGACTGCTATTCTAGGTTTGCTTCGCTTCTTCAAGCTCCGCCCCTTTTTTCAAAAATCAACAAACAACATTAATGAAATCTAAAAAAGTTGTTTAATCTCATTCTTTAGAATTGTCTTTCTTATATTGTGTAAACGAACTTCAATTCTGAATTGTGTACTATACTCAACAGGAAGCGTCACAACCACCCTCAATATCGATCAGTATTAGTTTGTGATCGTTATTATCATTATAGCTTCATTATTATTATTATTATTATTATTATTATTATTGAGAATTATTATTACTATTACTATTACTTTGAGTCATGTTTCAACTATATGACGATATTTTCTTTCAACGATACTATTTTGTTTATGCCCATAATTTTAAAGATTTTTTAGCACTAATGCCCATACATTAGAATAAATCACAATAAATAGTATTGTCAATAGAAAATTATGAAACACTTAAATAAGTTCTTGGTTAATTAGTCTTAAGTATAAAATGTCACTATTGTTTTGTAACATGTAATGAGAAGTAGGTAAAATGGAATCACCAATTATGGGACAAATAGCTTAGGTTTATATTAACTGAATTCATATCTCGATCGAGAAATTAAATTATTTAGCAACTTTTTCTATTGTTTCTCTTTGTCCACTATTTTTTTTTCAAATTAATCTTATGCGAAAAACCTTAACCTCAACGATTTAAAATAAAATTCACGAGGAAAGAAAATATAAGACATAATTTTATTCAACAGAGGATAAAATGAAGCATATTATTGCTACTAATGACTTGAATATGCTAAATTTTATTCTAAAAAGAAAAAAATTAAAATTATTACTCATTAAATCCAATGTTTGTACTCGAACGACTTCATTGAACGAAATTTGTTTAATTTTTCAGAAATTGAAATTTATAAAATGGTAGATCAATTTTATTATTCTATTCATTTTATTTTACGTAAAGAAATTTGAGTAAATTAAATAAAATCCACACTGATTAGCATATTCAAGTGCGGATTCAAGTCATCAACAACAATTGTATGCTTAACTTTATCCTCCATTGAATAACATTAGGACTTATATCTTCTTTTCTCATTAATTTTACTTTGAATCGTTGACGTTATTGTTCTTTTCAAAAGAATAGTTTGAAGAAAAAAGGCCGGGGATAGAGAAACAACTTTAAAATGGGTTAAAGATTTAATTTTACGAAGATATCGGTTAATATATAAACCTAAGCTATTTGTATTTACAAAAGGGACAAAGACCAAACCTGATAAGTTTTTGAATACTTAAAGGATTAAAGTCGGTAAGTTTATAGTTAATGGACTATAACCGATAATTGTATAGTTAAGGGACCAAAGCTGATAAGTTTTTTAATAGTTAAAAGACTAAATTCATTAAGTATATAGTTAAGAGACCATTTATGACCTACTCCTATAATTAAGGGACTATTTATGTCATTTTCTCTACAACTCTTGAGAAAATATTAATTAAAAAAGTAATTTGATTAAATTATCTTTATTTATTATCTGGTCTCAATTTGATGCTACATTCTTTTCCACCATATTTATTGTCTTCATGTTTTATTGAGTAAAGAGGAAAGTGAAAAGCAATAAACAATTATATTTTAATTTTAAAAAGTTATAATTATTTTGAACCACTTATTTTTTTAAGCACGATAATATTTCGAGCATCAATTATTGAGCAAAAAAAATCTTTGCATAGATTTAGATCCACATGTTGTGTTTAGGTAGATATAGTTACAGATCATAAAGATATTTTTTACATGTGACATATTTTAATTTGAATTTATGGAAAAGAAATTTTTGGCAATGTTCTTAAAGGCCAAGAATAAATTTGGTGGATTTCTAGAGGATGATTTTTGGAATTGGAACTAGTTAGAAAAATGACATAGTTAGTATTAAACGTTTATTTCATTCTATGGTTGGTAGCATCGAAAGTTTATTTCTTAGCTGAGTCCATCAAATAATTTTCATGCATGTTCAATTAGAATTTCGATATGGAATATCTCAGCCCCTCGAGGGCCTTGTCATATACTATGATATTGGAGTTACCCAACAAATATGTGGTGGAGTCTGGTCTACCAAAGCTCTAATCAATCGAGTTAACTCTTTTTTTTTTATATAACAATTATGGGTTCAAGATTTAAATTTTTTTCATTATAAAATATAATTTAATTATTTTAGTGTTGTAAATAAAAAATAAATCGTCCAGTATTTCTATATATCCAGGCATGATGAAAGTGAAACCCACACAAAAAGCAAAGCCTAAGATTTTGGGGCACCAACTATATGTAGATGTGACTAGACTTTGTAGACTCTAATCAAATCATTTTTTGTTTCACTTTTTTTTTTTTAAAAATCCATATATTGACAAATTATTAAGCTGTCAATTTTAAAAAGTATAATACATAAATATGTTCTTTAATTTAATTTTATCTGGCATCTATGAACTTCAATTTTGAATGTGTACAAGTAGACACTTAAATTTGTATAAACTTGAACAAGTAGACGCATGCATCTGACGTGACATAATACATATAGAACACAAATTGCCATGTAGGACGTACGCTTGTCGATTTGTTCAGTTTTATGCAAGTTAAACAGTCTACACGTGCACAATCAAAAATAAAAAATATAAATATCAATTAAAGCTAAATTAAAAAACACATTTATATATTATGTCATATTAAAAATTAATTCATGTAATATTACATCACCACCCTGGATCAAAGGACAATTAAAAAAAAAGAATAAAAACTAAAAGTACATGTCTAGTAAATAAGTAAATAAAAAAATGTGTGGTTGAGAATACAAATATCTACCCAAATGGTCCATTATTGGGATTCCTTTTGGATAGAACATTTTGGTAAAAAATTTCGAGTATCAGATATTTATATCAAATCAATTTACATGATTAAGTTATATAATAAAGTAAAAATGTTTCTTAATTGATCATTGATTAAGTAAGTGAACTCTATAATCCAACACATAAGATGCATATATTAGTTTGATAGAAATTATTTAAAAATTTTGATAAATTGTCGTGATTTATCCTCAAATTTCACCTACACATTTTTGTTTTAAAAAATAGTCCGAATTAGTTCAAACAACTCCGAGTTTAATGTTTAATCTTATAATATCGATTTCAATCATTTTCAGTTGTTAAATTCAATTCAAGTATACAAAAATCAATAAACTGATCATTACTTTATCGTTTTTCAAGAATCAAGCTAATCAACAAAATCGAACAATATATAGTATTCTCTAATTTTCCATCCTCTTCTTGTTTCTAATTTTTTTTAATTAATCATTCGATATTTAAAATTTATTGTTTCAATTAATTTAAATTTACGTCTGATAAAATTAAAAGAGTAAAGTGCATTCTATAAAAGAAAGTTCAAAATTTGTACACTAAAAATAGTTCGAGGTGTCCCTTGATTATAGTGGTGGTATCATTTTTATCTTCGTTTTTTTTATATGTTGCAAAAATTGGCATGTATGATATACCCTTATAATATACCAAACATTTTTATCTTCGCTTTGAAGGTCATATACCAAACATTATTGGAGATCTTGTTGGACTTCGTACGTTGAACTTATAATCTCATAATGTCTTGGAAGGTCATATACCGGCATCATTGAAAAATCTATTTGTGCTCGAATCATTGGATCTCTCATCTAACAAAATCAGTGGAGAAATTCCGCAGCAGCTTGCATCCCTCACATTTCTTGAAGTCTTAAATCTCTCTCACAATCATCTTGTTGGATGCATTCCCAAAGGAAAGCAATTTGATACGTTTGAGAACAGTTCATACCAAGGAAATGATGGATTACGAGGATTGCCACCCTCAAGAGATCGTGGTCGTGATGATAGGGTACCACAAGTGACAATTCCAGTTGAGCTAGATAAAGAAGAAGAAGATTCACCAATGATCAGTTGGCAGGCGGTTCTCATGGGTTACGGTTGTGGTCTAGTTATTGGATTGTCCTTAATATACATAATGTTGTCAACACAATATCCAACATGGTTTTCGAGGTTGGTTGTGCAATTGGAACACAGAATTACTACGAGAATGAAAAAACACAAGAAAAGATATTAGTGTGTAACCGACAGGTATTCAACTTGATCTTTATCCTTCAGAAGATTACTTCTTCTATATCGATTTATTAATGTGCAAGTTTAATGCTTTATTTTTGAAAATTGCAGGATTCATGCCTACAGAGTTGCTGAGGATGCAGATGAAAGCCTTTATCTTTCCTAGTTTGTGATGTTTCCGTTAGGTGTTTGTTATCCTATGAATAAAGACATGAATTTTCTTCTTTGAGACTCAATCAAATTTTTCTATGGCATGTAGTTATTAGTTAACAGAAATCAGACACAAACTTGAATCTTTAGATCATTCAATCGGACAATATGTGCCATCACTAAAATCATTGTATTTCCCTCAACTCTTTCACATTAACATAAACATAGAACACTCACTTTAAGTTCCAAAACATAAAAATAAAAAAAAATCTGTAGTTACAGAGTTCGGAAATATTTTTATAAAGGCTCATGATGGTCCTTCATCAAAAAATCAAAGAAACATTATCAGGGACCAAAGTAGCAGTTTTCTATCATTAACTCTTTTCATTGAAGCAGCAGCAAAAGATTTGCATTATTCTCTACTGCCTCACATAGACAACATCCTGTGGTTTCAACATTCTTTGAAGTGCTGGAGAATCCAACTCTCGGATGACAGAGTTCCCCGATATCTCTATTGGTGGAAGGTAGACGGTACCAGTTGAATTGAATTAATTGAATAGAACACAAGTTGACCTGAGCATCACTGTTATACAACAACAAACTACGCCACAGCCCCAAACAATAACTTGCACAGAGACCTGAAATAATGTTCAGAGCCCAAAATAAGATGGACATAAACACACAACTGAGTGATAGCTCCATGAAATGTACAAGCACCCATCAGAGCAGTGGCATCAGCTTCAAAAGGTATCTTCTTTATGAAGTCGTACGCTTCCTGTAGTAGCCCAGCTCTGCGTAAGAGATCAATCAGACAACCATAGTGCTACAAGTCCAAATTCATGTGACATTTCAAGAGCAAACCTGCTTGCTAATCATTGCATCAAATATCTTTGAAGCATATATCAAACAACCCATCTTTCCATAAAACACAAACAATGCAGTCGTCATGAAGACACTCAACTCCTCATTCTTTACCATGTACATATACTTGCCTCCCAAGATTTAATGCCAAACCAAAGATATACTTTTTTTTCTTGATCTACTAGCCTCTGTTCTCTGTGCATTCCTATTTCTTAATAAATCTCAAATGTTTTATTTATTTTTTAAAAACAGGCATTCTATAGAAGCTGCAGTTTTCGCGGATAGCAGATGGGCAAAGCAATCTGCTATGGTGAGCAGCCGGTTCTATCCACTTCTTCTTTTATTCTACACATCCGGTTCAGGTTATCATCAAACACGACTAATTTGTATCAACGGGCATTTGCAAAAGCAAAATGAGCTAGCACATATGATAGATTGCATCATTTTTATTACACATGAAACTTTATTACAAAATTCATATCTTTTACACACACACACACACAAAAATCAAATGGAAATACTATAAGGTACACCTTTTCCAGTAACTCCAGGTTCAGAATATGGTTTCAACAATTCATATGGCATAACTCCAGCTCCATTTCTATTATTCAACTTACTATCATTATTTCTAGCATCAATAATCCCTTCAAGCTCCTTCAATTTCCCCGAAAACACCTCGAACGCCGCGTTAATTACGGGGTCTTCAGCCCAATAAGGCTCAATCTTTTCACCAATATATTCTTCATCTGGTGAATGGTTTGATAAGACATCCAAAATTGTCATCACTTTTGTTGCTTGAATTTGTGAAGGGAAGCATCTTAGTAGTGCCTCCTCAGGCTTATTCATGAACCACTCCCATTCTTCAGCTGTTGGATCCTCAGTTGGCATTTTTGATCTAGCAACTGTTGGCCTATTTGGAAAGTAGCCTACATATGTAATAGAATAGTTAATATGATGAGGGCCGAGCGCCCGGCTATCGAAAACAAACTATCTACCTAGTTCACACAAACAAGATAGGGATAAGGTCTGTATAATACGCCTCACTCTCTCCAAACAGTGACGTAGCCAGAAGTTTTACTTAGGAGTGTCAGTTGTCACAATATAAAAAAGGGGCATAATACATAAATATGCTCTTTAACTTGGCTTCAACTAGCATCTATGCCCTCCAGTTTTGGTTGTGTACAAGTAGACACACATGTTCTACGTGGCATAATACATGTAGGATGCCACATAGGACACGTAGGACGAATGTGTCTATTTGTTCAATTATAACAAGTTTAAGTGTCTACTTGTGCACAGTCAAAGTTGGAGAGCGTAGATGTCAGCTGAAACCAAGTTAAAGGACATATAGTATATATACCTAAACTAAAATTTTGACCTAGCTAAACCACGTTATTTGGGGTTTTTAACTCTGGCCACCATGGCTCATTTCTCTTGTCACCATGTCCAATATTTTTAATCTCTGACCACCAAGCTTGGAGTTCTTTATCAGATTCAATAAGATTTGTTTGTGGATAATAATGGTTTACATAATTTGTTACCCATTGTTTAAGTATGTCCCAAAGTACTAATCCATCATTAGCAAAAGGGTAATCTTCTATTGCTAGTTTCAATCCATGTGGTTCATTTGGATCTTCCACTGCCAATCCCCTGTAAATTTTGCACAAAATAACATGTTAGTAGAAGTAGGGGCTCGTCCAAGTCCTTTTCGTCGAAAAATTATACTATATATAAGGTCAATCTTATTTTTATGTATATATATAGTAGATGTTGATTCTCCTGTTTGTGTTATACCAATGTACAAACCAATAAATCTTGATTTAGAAAATCAAGGTTGTCTAAAGGGTAAAGAAGTTACTTGTGAATACTTTATAGCTCATCCTGATCGTATTTCTCCCGAGATGAAAGAAAATATTAGTTATTTTTCTTTTCAGAACTATTGCCCCAATAAAAAATAAACTTAATAATTAGAGGTCTCAAGTTCGACCTTCGCAAACGGAAGCACCTTTGGTTGGGAGCATTTTACCTCCAATATAGGATTTTCTAACCCTAAAATGAGCCCCACGTGTCTCGAGATCTACCCCTTTTTTTAATAGAGTCACATTTAATTGGGAGCGTTTTACTCCAAAGTGGGATCTTTTTACATGAATTTAGATTAGTAGGGTCCCAAAACAGATACCAAACACCGAATCAAATTAGAATAATAGAAGATTAGTGAATTATTACCTACTAATAAGGTTTTGTGGGAGTGCCTCTTGGTCAAATCTCCATTCAGCACCATAGGCAATAGAACTCAACTCAATTGCATACTTGCCTGGGAAAAATGAACTCTCAATAATACCATTAGCATTAATAAGTGCTTCTCTAGCTAAGGCATTTATCTCCATTGTGTATCTGAAATGAGGATGCAGCAATCTATATATTGGATGCATTGCACTTAGTTGCCTATTTGATGCAATAATGTATGGCTCTGTACAACAATGAGTTCTTAGCCTGCAAAATTTTGGTACAAAAAAATAATTAGTCATAAAATTTTCAACATCAAAATTACTAAGAAAAAAGTTTAAGTTATATGCATCGTGCGTCAGTCAGTGTAAGAAATTTGTACACCATCAAGTCAACCTTTCCTTGTTGTAACAGGTACTCTGTCTTATTTTTAAGATTATATATGGCATGCCTTAGGAAGACTTATCTATAAGTAATATCTTTTAAGCTACTTGATAGTGTAAAAAAAATCTTTACGCTGACATCGGGATAGAGTACTAATGTGAAGAGTCATTACATTAAAAATGATCTTTAGCGGTAAAAGCTTAATTGCTGCTAAAAGCATATTTTTAGCTAGTGGTTTGTAAATGCCCCTAAAGTCTATAGAGACACTAGATCCAATGACAATTAACTAATGTCGATAAAAGTTTTATCACTTTTGTTAATGTATATAATTATTACCGTTAAAAGTTGTTTTTGTTAAAGTGAGTCAGTTAGCAAAGAGTTCAAGTTATATGCGCCGTCAATATGTAATATGGAATTTATACATGATTAACAAATCACTTTTACTTGTTATAACAGATAACTTGTCTTATAATAAATCTAATATCTTAAGAAGACTTATCTGTAAATATCTTTTAGGTGACATGATAACTTACCAGTGACTAACTAGTTGATGATAGCCAGAGTCATGAGAAAGAACATGAGCTTTGGCCAATTTCCATAGCCAAGCCCCAGTGGCATTCCAATCATTTGGGGAATAAACTTCCTTCCATTGAGGTTTATCATCTACTGGTGGCCTAGTTAGCTCAATTGCCAAAGGTTTCAATGTGCCTTCAGGTGTCAAGAAGAATATAGTTCTTGATCCATATAATACTGACCCTTTGAGTTCATTCACTTTGTTCACATATGGCAACAACAAATCATGGTAATCTAGGATGAACAACTTCTTTTGTTGAACTGCCTGTATAGATATATAACTCAAGAATTAAAATCAAGACTTTATATACATAATCCAAGAAATTGTGGAAAAATGATATTAAGGGGTGATCTTGAATTTTTGGTGACCACCTTAAGACGATCTTAATAAAAATGACATATGTTGTCCATCAAGAATAAATTCTAATTATAATGTGTACGCAAATTTAGTTTTTTCTATGAGGAATAAAGAGTTATGACCATTTAAAGAAGTTACAAACACTAAATAAAGCTAGTGTAATGTGTTGTCGCTTGTTGGGGTAGGAGTTTCAGTTGTAATGACTTGTGAATAATTAAGCTAAACCATGCAATGTTTATCTATATGAGGTAGAACTTGTGGCAAATTGAGAAGATTCACTATATTGCAATGACTCGAACTCGTGGTTCATAGGTAAAATAAATTTATATCCAATAGGAAACAATGGTTGTTTTTTAAAACATCTAATAAGTTGGGGCCAAAAGTTCAAAATCACCCCTATGGAGGTCATTTTTGCAAATCACCCTATATTATAAAATATAACTAGTGCAATCTAGTATGTGGATTATTTGTAACGTATGACCTTTCTTGAGACTATTGGTTAAATCATGTCTCTCACTTAGTTCAACAAACTAAATTTCGCCTTTAAAAGTAGTTGGGTGACTCTTTTCTTGTGAAAGACAAATTTATTAGCCCATTGAGCTATTGGGGGACTTGATAATTTAAAAAGTAACCTTAAGAAAGGCCATTCGTGCAAATAAAAAAGATCAAACTATTGGCCAGACTAGATATCGTCTGTCTATAAATAAAGCAAAAAATGTAGATTTTTCTCGTAATTGAAAATAAATAAATAAAAATAATGTGTTTATATATATACCTGTTCAACAGTCATATAGTTTCCAATTTCTTTCTCAATTAGCTCTTTTGTGATTTCTGATTCAGGAGGTCCATACACTTTAGGGTCTAGCTTGCTCCTCAATGGCCATTCCTGTATTTAGCAACAAATTAGCGATGGATAAAAATTCAGTTAGTTTCAAGGCAATTTGACGATGGATAATTAGTAATAAGGTTTATGGCTAATTCTATTTTTTTTTCCTGATATTTATGATAAAGTGTATATATAATAGTTAAGCATATGATATTTGAAATCATATCACAAAAATATGTATGTTCCCAATACTAATATTCCTTTTAGTAAATCTATTCATAGAGCAACATAAAGTGAACTCAAAATAAATACCTATTAAGTTTAAGATGATATAAAGAGAAAAAACAATCAAAATTATGGCAATAACATATAGTGACCTATACTATATGAGTTGATATAAATATCTAATACAAATAAGTTTTTATCGTAATAACATACCGTAACCAATCGGATACTGTATGGATTCAAACCAGCCAAGGTTTGTCGAGCAAATTCCACATCTCTAAACCAAGAAAATTTGTCCCCTGCCATAAATAGTACAAAGAAATAAAAAAAATATTAAATCGTACAAGCAATTTTCAAAAATATCATCACATTCGTGTCTAATTATTGAAATATGTGGTGCATTTTTGAAAGACAAGAATGACAACATTTTTGAAGAATCCAATCAAAGTGTAAATTTCTAATTTTATATGTAATATTTAGATTTCTGATCCCCCTCCTTAAAAAAAATAAACAAATCTACATGATATCACATGAAAATATTTATTGATCCAACTACAAGAAGCAAAATGCAACGACATTTTCGGAGGATCAGATCAACATATATATGTTTCTAGTGTTATATATGCAATTCTCAGCTATGTTCCTCGTATATGTCCTTCAAAAATGTCCTTGCACTTGTGTTGAATTATCTAAATTTTATGCATTTTTAGAGAATCTGAAATAATTTTTTAACGATATTTTTAAAGGATCTGAACAAAGTATAGATTTCTAATAAAAATATTTAGATTTTTTTTTATCTTTAAAAGTGCTAGATGCATGATATCAAATGAAAATAAATGTTGATCCAAGTACATTAAAGCAAAACACATATGTTAACATTTTTGAAAATTCTAAACAACATAGTTAATTTATAGGGTTTTTTTGGGTACTTACTTTGAACCAATTGAGGGGATTCAAAGAGCAAGACATCTTTTCTAGTATCAGAAATAGCCTTAATAAGTCTTGGTACGACGTTAAAAAGGCCACTTTTTTTATCTCCAAGTCCTGGTAGATCAACACCGACATTGAAAAGCGAGTCAATGGCCGGAAAATGTGGAAACCCGAGGTTGGGATCGGTTACGACCGATTCCAACGCGGGCACCACCGCGTGTAGGACGGAGTAAACGGTGTTGCCGGAGAATGTTAAACTCTTCACTTCTGAAAATGCTTCATCTCTTGGTACGTACACAAAGGTACTCCTTGTTTCAGATAATGGATCTACAAAAAAAAAATTAAAAATTACAAAATTCAATTCGAGTTTAACTTCTACGTACTAATAGTAAAAACTTTTTTTTAACATAAGTTTCTAAAGTTACTATCTATTACTATGACATGTTAAATTACATTAATAGAAAGCCAATTTGGTTAGCTGATTAAAAATTGTTGATAATTGTCAAATGTTAAAAAATAGTTTAAAGCGTAGAAATTTATTTTTTATTCAGTTATGTGTCTGGATAGAAGTGAAAGAAACTTTTTAAAAATAAATTGATTGTTATGCATTAAGTAATTGGTGTATTTAGTAAAATAGTGTATAGAAGTGTTTTTCTAGTAAAATGACTTAAATGTCCTTAAAGTTATTTTTACAAAAAGAATATAACAAAAATGGTGAAGGGTGATGAATGACAAAAATGAAATATAGAGGGAGTTGGTAATTTCATTTTGAAAGAATTTTTTGGTGATTAATACAAAAGGGCAAGTTACACACATTTAGTCGATCGTCCAAAAATAAATATAATTCACACAGTTAAATATATTAAAAATATATAGACTATTACATATCTATAATGTATAGTTTAGTGGACAACTGTTTATGTCAAATTCTCATTCCAAAAACTCTTTACGCTAAATTGTTTTCTTTAGGTCAAAGTAAATATTAAGTTTAAACAATAAAAGTTTTTTTCAAACATAAAATGCTTATAAACTGAAATAACCAATTTATGACTTTTTACTGATTTTAACTTATAGATATACTTGTGGTGTGCGTTTCCCAAAATATGTAGATAAATTATAAATTCATTTTCCATATATAATCATTTGATATCTAATACTGAACTATTCAAGATTCAAGTCATCACATAAGGCACATTTATGGTGAGGTGGAGGGAGGGGATATCCACATTTTCAAAAGTTCAAACTCGAGACAGAAATAATATACCTTTTTTACTTCTTGGTCTACCGGTTCTACACCTTCTAGGATAAGGTAATTCTTTTCCACCAAGTACTGGTCTCTTAGCATCACCATTACCATTAGCTTCTCCAAGATCATTATAAACATCATAATCATAAATCCTCTCAAATACTTTTCTTTCTCCAATTCCATCACCTCTTAATGTCACAAGTTCTTCCTCTCTTAACCTACTTACTCCACTTGGGGTTTGAGATGGTAAATATGACTGCAAATTAACGATATAATTAAGTAAATAAAAAACAGTAGCATACTTCAACATAGTATTATAATAGCCAGAGGTTATCAGTCCAAATCCCACTATTGTATATCTAAGAGTGTCAAAGAAGCGAGTTAGGCTAAATTTGAATGAATTGGGGGGTTGGGGTGGGGGTCGGGATGCGTGGGGGATTAATTGACCTATCCAAAGGTTATTTGAATTGAATCGGGTTGCTAAAATCATAGGTAATAATCCAACTCATTCAACTCTTACCATGTATATTTCCTAGTATCTTTCTTGTAATTTGTTTAATAACCAAACAAAAACTGATAAAACATTTTTTCTTTACTATGACTGAAGCAGCTCATATTTTCATGAGCTAATTTCATAATTCTTACTACCACCATCTATCAAAAAGATTTTTCACAGGTCAATATCATTTTAATTATTTTCTTTTTCAAAATGTATAAAATCTATTATGATAATCAATCAAGTACACATTTTTTATTCTGAACAAAGAAATCTAAGGGGGTCACGGGTTCACGTGAACACATGATCCTCTCCCGAGATAATATATAGTAGTGTTATATTTTTTTTAAAATATTGAAAAATAGATATCCACACTTGAAGTATCACATAATGCGAGTATGATTGGGTGCACTTCTCTCCACGAGGTTGGAAATTTAAATTTTATATTTATCTTGTTTTATTTTTCTTTCTAAAATTAGATAACACTTCTCTAAGTGGTAATTGCTATATATATATATATAGAGAGAGAGAGAGAGAGACCTATAATTTTAAAATCTTAACGATTTTCAGTAATAAAAATCTAAATATTGAATCGATCAAATTTATATCATAGATCAACTTTTTTATAACAGCACACCCATCATTTTAAAATTCTGGATACGCCTCTAAAGAAATCCTCTCTAATATCTCCGATTATCATAGCACGAAATAATTTTTTAAAAAAATAGAAGAGAAGGAATTATAGCCAACCTTATTTGTGAAGAAAATCCTTTTATCAGGATTATCAAATTTGGAATGAACCCAAGAGTTGCATGTAATTTCAACTTTGCCATGGACAAAACCGTCAATTACTATATTCTTCACATACATTTCCTTGTGGTGCTCATTTTCTACTAAAATTGCACCAACCTCCCCAAAGTCTTCAGGAATTACAAAATCAGCCTCATAATGTGTGTCGCCATCCACATCTCGTCCACGATGTGCATATGCCCTAATGCCTGGCTTCTCAATTCCAGTCTCTTTAAAAAATTTAAATTTAAAAAAAAATAAAAAATATTAATAATATTTTAAAATTTTAAATTAAATGAAACATTGAAGGAAGAAATTAATTAGCGGAAAAGAAATATAATGATACTTTTCTCTATCTCTTTTTTATCGTACAATAAAAAAATTCGATTTTCTTCTCTACCAACTTATTATTATTTCTTATCATTTATAGTCAGTTAGTTTATTAGAAATAAAATTGATGATACAACTAAATTTTGATGAAATATTATTAAAATACACAAAAAAAAGGACTTTTTTCTGTAAGGCTAAGAAAGTCACTTACAAATTATTATAGTATACCTATTATGTATTATCACCCCGTTCCTGAAATATTGACTTTGAACTTTATTTGTTTTCAATTTTCAAAAAAAAAAAAAACTTATCAAAGTAAAATTTGCTTCGTTTGACAAGTTACATTTTTTTTTCTTTTTTGGGTTTTACATTTGGTGTACTCAGTACATGTCTTAACATTCGATTAAATATAAATTTATGCATTATAGGACTCATTTGTGTGTGTGGATATCCCTTTTAAGAGGATTTTTTTTTATTTTCACGCACGCGAACTAAAAATCTTAAATTAAAAATTAAGAAAATTTAAACCATATCAACGACAAACCACCATATATATTATTTGTGAGGTCTTATTTTATCGCTAGAAAATGAAGGAATAACTTATCCTATGTTTAACAATTCTTGGATAAAACCCTTAAATGACTAAATTATCCCTCAATTTCTTTTTCTAAATCTTTTTTATAATTTGATATCCTTTTTAATTATATTGAAGTGATTATAAATGTTCTTTTTAATTCTCCAAATCCATGTCAGTGTAATTTGATGATTTCACAAACTAATATTTTTCTCTCCATGTTTGGTTTGCTATATTGAGTTGATTTTATTTTATTTTTTAAAAAAGGTAGTTCGTCGATTGACCACTTGAACTATTTATTATTTTTTTAATAAGCTTTAGATATTTGAACAATTTAACTACCTTAAATATATGTTAAGTTTAAGGTATATTTTACCAACAAAATAATTAAAAATGTATCGTGCTATCAGGTACATCACACCTCAAAATTAACAACAATTTATTTTTCATATTTTAGTATTTAACTTGACTTGTTTAATGAAATAAAAAATCCTACAAAAATTCAAGGGTATAGTTGAAAAGAAGATTTTTGTAGAGTTTATCGCTGAAATAATTCAAGTGAGAAAATAGCAAATATGACGATAAAATTGTTCTTCTCCTAACTAGTTAGAAGGCCACAAAAAATAATATTGCCCGACAGTTATTTATCTTGACTCAAAATAAATAATCTACCTTGACTCATTTACATGAAATAAACAATCTCATAGTAATTCAAGGATATAATTAGAAAGAAACTTTTTATAAAATTTTAAACCAAATACAATATTATATGAAAAGCAATGAACCAAACATTTGATAAAATATAATTTCTCCATTATTAATGAACTTTTACACTAAACAATCCTATTAAATGATTCAATTGAAGCAGACAGAAGGACACCTTTTTCATCACTTTCTGTCCATGTGATGTGACTCATTCTAATAGGTTTAATAATATATAGATACTTCTTTAAATTTATCAATAAATTTTATTTTTTATCAATAAATTCTATTTAGACATTCAACTCTCACATATATATAAATTTTAAACTTTTTAACATCGGAAAACTAACTGGATGTGTGTTATTGTTTAATTACACATACACGTTAAATTTTGAACGCACAACTTTATAAGTGCAGTGAATTTTATAATGAGAACCTTAAAAGTTGAAATCATAGGTAATCCGCCTCATCAGATTCAAATTCAAGTGGTTCAACCCAATTGACCTATTTTTTTTAATACGAAGCATCTCATAGATATATATGTCTGAAAATCACTAAAATTTCAATAAGCTTCAAGTTTTGATCAAATCATAATTTCAAAAATTACAACGAGTTCAGTTACGTTATAAAAGCTTTAAATTTGAAAGATCAATACATGAGTGTTGTAGCATTTCTGAAGGATCCAAACAACATAAAAACACTACTCCTACTAACTAGCTAAATAAAAGTCATTGAATGCACAATTATATAAATGTATTATGAGAATCTTGAAAGTTTGAATAAGCCTATCATATAGAGTGAGGATAATCAGTTCAACAATCTTCATTGAAAAATCATAATAGTTAATATAATATCATATATATTATACTTTAAATATTTTTAATCAAATTTCTCGATTCGTCACTGCTTTGACCCTGATCAATGCACATAAAAAGAGAGAGAACACACTTTTATTTAGGAAGAAAATTAATATATGAGTGAATAAAATATACTTACTATGATCAAGCTCAGCAGCAACAATCCACAAAAGTAGTGATTTACCAAGTAAATCACCAATATCATCAAATCCTCTTGATAAACTCAAATTAACTTGTTTTTGGACAGTCACCACAGCTTTAACACTTGTGGATTTTACAGTAGAACTAACCACAGCCTTAGTGGTATTTGCACCATTATAATTATGACGAACCCCAAAATTATTCTTTTTTTTTAGTCTAAAGTTTTTATTTAAAATATTTATGGGAAAAGAGGCTAAGAATAATGGATTAGTATTCCAAGATGGAATTAGGGTTTTTGTAGATTGTGATGATTGTTGAAGTTGAGGCTTCAACATTTTTTTATTTTTTTTTCAATTTTGATTGATATATGGTTTGGTTTGCATTTTGGTCTCTAAGTAGTTCTCTTTATATAGATGATGAAGTTTTGCTTAGGTACCTGTGTGTGTGTTTTTTTGGGCATGTAGAACCTTTTCTTGGATATTATTGAACGCTGAACCAGAATTTAAAGTTTATGAGCTCTGAATTTTATATCAAATTAATCGCTCGTTTTAGTTACTGAATTTCACAATTTATAAATATGCATTCATATTTATAATGTATTTTTTAAGGGAAAAAAGGACAGATATACCCCTGAACTATCGTAAATGGTATGTAGATACCCTCCGTCATACTTTTAGGACATTGGTGCCCCTACCGTCCAAAAACTAGAGCATATATACCCTTTATACTAACAGACATACACATGTCACAATCTTATCCACCGATATGACATTTATTAAATATCGGATCGACGGATAAGATTGTGCAACGTGTCCCTATTTAGTCTTCCGTTAGAGTGAATGACATATTTTCTCTAGTTTTTGGACGGCAGGGGCATCATATCCCAAAAGTATGACGGAAGGTATCTGCATACCATTTACGATAGTTTGGGGGTATATTTATCCTTTTTCACATTTTCTAATGTTGATACAAGATATAACCAAAAGTTATTGAGTTTGTCCGAACCAATGACGGAGCCACATTAATGTTGTTTACAGATTCAACAGAATTCAGTAATTTTGGCTCAAATTTATATTTTTGATGTATATATGTTGAAAATTAAAAACGTTATCAAAAACTTGTGACACTTAAAATTGAATAAATACAATATATAGCAATCATGAATTGGCAGAAAAAAAAAAGCTTATGATTTCAGACTTTTATTCTTAGAGTTGTTGTAATCTAAATTACTATTTATACGTATTAACTACTAGCTTTTTTAATAAAATAATTTTGCCTCAAGTAGACAATAAATTGCGTCCTAGAGATAATTTCCCCTTATGTGGACAATAATTTTCTTAATGTGTTAAAGTTAAATTGCGATCTCTTGACTTTTTACAATTTTAATTAAAAAAATGATTATTTTTTTTAGATATTTTATGTATAAAAATAAAAAATATCTTATAAAAATGACATAATTTTTTTTTTAAAAGTGTAAAGAACATATTGAGTTTTTATTAAAGTATTTATATACTAGAGAACATGGTCGCGCTTCGCGCGAGGGTTAAAAATATGTGTTAGAATAATTTTTCTTGTGGATTAATTATGTCATTATACTATCCAATCGTATCATTATCTTTTCATTTAAAATGATACATGCTCTATTAAAAAATATTTTATTTCCATTGCAATGAATGGGGGAATTGTTAGTATGTTTTGACGGTCCTCCTTGCTTTTTATTAAGATACCAAGGAGATTGAACTTTTATATTGTAATATCTATTATGGATACTTTTGTGAATGTTTTTGAAATGGTTTTCAATGTAAAATAACAGTAAAAAAATATAAAGAAATACGTCAACAACGTCCTATCATTTGTTATTAGATTGATTTTTAGAGAATATATTCTCTAATAACAAATTATTTCATCTTTGTATTACATTGAAACCAATACATGAAAAACGTCATTTCATTCTTTGTAAGATTGATCTAGTGAAATTCCTCTGTTTATATATTTTTTCAATCGCTCTTGTTTCTTTCTGAAATATGCAATTTGCTATTGCATAATATTTTCATACATCACTTTAACCGCTTTGCTTGATTTTTCAGTTGCATCTATATTCAAAAATAAATGTTTTGTTAATTGTTTAGAAATGCAACTTAAGATAGTTATGAATATTAACATTAATATTTTACCTTGACAATTCTCCGAACTAATTTGTTGGGGATGATTCATAATTTTCTTATCAATTGTAGTATTCCTGTATAAGTATTTATCAAAGTCAAACTAAGGATAAAGTGTTGCAATAAAATGTAATTTAAATATAATAATATTGAACATTTGAAAAACTAACCTCAATTATAGTATGAGCAGATGGTGACTATGAAGATAAATGGTGTGTCTTGATGTTTTAAATTTTGTTTGTGGTATTTATACCACTTTTTTCATTTGTTGGTTGTGCTTTCCACTTAATTGTTTAAATTATGAGTTAATTTTTTTGAATTTGTTAAATGTTCTTGTAAAGATAAGTGTCAAGATTTCGAAAAATAATTCGAGGAAATTTGGGAATTTGTATTGTTATGTATTCATTATGAAAGATATGTTATTAATTTATTATGCAAATATAGTAAATGAAAAGGTGTAAAGGATTAGTTTAGGATGGTGTAATTGTATAAAAAGAAATTCATATATGTAAGTTCATTAACGTATAATATTACATGATTCTGTAATATTGTTGGTATTTTTCTCTTTTAAAAAATTAGTGTATTGTACAACTTTTGTCCTTCCTTGGTTGTGCTCTCCATTTAATTCTTTTAACTAATGAGATTTTTTTTTAAACAACTCCATGGAGAATAACTATTTATAGATTGATTAATCATGAAAAATTAAATAGGAGAAAGTTGAGGAGACATGATATTTAAGTACAAAATGCAATAGATAGATATAATTTTTTTTTAACTCATAAAACACATTTTTCTTTAAAAAAATAATAATTATCATTTACAAAAGTAAATTTTAATAAATTTTGCAATAACACATGATCTTAAAGCACTATAATCAATAGACATTTCCAATAGTGAAGATTCACTTAAGCACTATACTGAACCTATATACTCCTAATCAGTATTAATCTTTCAAACAATAAATGTTAAATATTTAATAGAATTACTATTTAATTTATTTATTTAAAAATAAAAAGAGGGAATCAAAAACTTCAAAACTTCTAATAATAACAATAAAAAAATAAAATAAGAAGATCATAAAGTTACATATTAATAGTCAATTTTTCTATGAATTATACTGTATTTTGAAAATTAATTAACTTTACATTCACATGTTCTATCATTATAATTAATAAAAAGTTAATCCACATAACTATAAAATTACATCTACATGCTTTCTTGAGTAGCATACATGTATAGATTAACTCCCTTTTCTACTTTTATTTTTTAAAATATCCAGACCTGAAACATGGTAAGTTAACCTTAAACAACAAAAAAAAACATAAAAATAAAATTAACTAATCAAGTAAAAACCTTAAAGAATATTTAGTTATGAGTTAAAAGAAGAAAGAAGGAACCTACAAAGAGAAGCAAAGAGAAAAAATCAAATAATTTTTTCTAAAAGAAAACTCATGATTCATATAATCAAGAATCCAAAAAAATAATTAAATATATAATTACAATAGAAAAAGTGATAATTATATTATGCATATCGAATCATTTTACCTCGTACAAGCAAACTATGCAAAAATGTCTAATATTCTTCATTGTAGATATCTCTCTTGCAAAATCAGATCAAAGAAGAGAAAAAATTAAACAACCAATGAGACAAAAGATGAAGAATAAAAAAAGTGAATATAAAACAATCATCATACATCTCAAAATAGTTTTTTATAAGTGTGATTTTAAGGAGTTATAAAATTGTATATTAAATAATTTGAAGGTTATGATTATGAAAGGTTAGAAGTTGTAGATGTTACTAAATTAATTATGTAATTGAAGAGGTATGAATTAAAGAGATGATTATAAAATTAAAAAATAGAAAAAGATAAAAAAAAAATATCACAAAAAAGATAAATATGATTCTAAGCCATTGAGAGGTGCCACGTCACTTTTTTTTATCTAGCTTTATGTAGATATATAGATATAGATATTTAAGTAATGTAAACATAAATATAAGGTATGGATCAAATTTAATTAAGGTACTTTGTAAAACAATTTCTCAAAAGAGAAAAACATTTTGTAAATTGGCATAGGCATCCAATTGGTGAGATAGACCGCGAAAAGGATGCTTCATCCTAATAATGTAAGCAAAGTACAGACGCATGTGTTAAAAATGTGTCCTATTTCAATTATATGACGATATTTTCTTTCAATCATACTATTTTGTTCATGCCCATAACTCTTTAAGATTTTTTGAGTACTAGTGTTCATACATTAGTATAAATCAAAATAAATAGTATTGCCAATAGTAAATTATGAAACACTTTAGTAAGTTCTTGGTTAATCTTAAGTATAAAATGTTACTATTGTTTTGTAACATGTAATGAGAAGTAGGTAAAATGGAATCACCAATGATTGGACTAAGTCTTTTTTGGTATCTAGTTTTCGAAATCCACATTGAAGTTTCGACAAAATTCGGATTATGCATTAGATGGGGTCTGAAGAGAGTAAAGTGTACGCATATATCTTATCATTACCTCGAGGAAGTAGATAGACTGTTTCTAAAAGACCTTTAGCTCAAGTGCATCGAACCCAAGTAAAAGAAAAAGGGAAATAATGAATAAAACATAAGTATTAATAAGAAAAACAGTGTAAAGACTAGAAAGAAAAAAAAAAAGAAACAATACCAACAACAAAATAGTGTGGCAATCAAAACACAATACACAACATAAGTCAAGAACTACAAGGGTACGACTAGTACTACGGCAGACACTAACAAACCTACTACTAAAAAAACTGGATTTAGCGATGAACAAATTTTGTAGCTAAACAATAAAATTCGTCGCTAATCCTACTTAGCGACAAATTAGCTACAAATTTGTGTTAGCTACAAGCAAAATACCGACGGTACAAAAACAAAGTTTGTAGCTAATTTCAGTGTTTTTTAATAGTTGGTTCATCCTACGCGCAACGAAACAACACTTCACCCTTACTAAATGAGTTGAGTAAAAACGAATCGTAATTTAATCCGTTCATATTTTTAACTAAGCGGAATGATTTGGGAGACCCTTGTACTTGACTCTGTTTGTAAGTTGGACCCTTGTACTTATGACTTTACCAAATGGACTCTTAAACTCATTCAAACACAATAATTTAAATCCCTTTCTCATCTAATATGTGTGCGTGTAATACTC